ACAAGGCCCCGCGACCCAGAGAGGGCGAGAACGCGCGCAAGGTCACACCGCGGGTCCAGAAGGGACGCGAGCCCGGGGTGAGGAAGCAGGGACTGCGGCCTCTCACTTCCCTCCGCCCGGGCTTCTGCAGGCCCGGGCGAGCCCCCAGCTGTCACCCCGCTCAGAGCCCCTTCTCCAGGCGCGCCGGCTCTCACCTGCCCGCAAGCCCCACAGCGCAGGTAGGCGGCGCGCAGCGATCAACGCCGCCGCCATGTTGCAGCCCGAGCAAGGCCTCGGCCTCCGTCCAAGGCTGCCTTCCCCACCGCCTACAGCGACTGCCCCTCGTCAAATGGCGGGCCTCGACCCGCGGCTGAATTCCCGAGGCCCGAGGGCCACCCCGCAGCGCAGACCGAGGTGGGGGACTGTCGGGACGGGTCGCAGGGTAGGCTGAGACCGGCGCGGCCTTGGACAGCCCCGCGGGGTCCTCGCGTCAGGCCTGGGGGCGGGGTGCCAGGTGTGGGCGTGTCCAGGACGCCGCTCCTGCCCGGAGAGGGCGGGGCCGGCCGGATCCCATGGCGGCTGCTTGGCCGCTGGGAGAACCGTGGCTTGGAGGGGTGACCGGAGCTGGCGCTGAGGCCCTTTGCGAGGTACAGACGGGCACGGAAAAGGTCTAACTGCAGTGAAGATGCAAGGAGTGACTAACACAGACAAGGACTGCAAAGAAGTTGTTCCTGCCCAACCTCCGTAAGCCATGGTTTAGATTAAGCACTGATTACTTTGCATTTCACACGCATCTGTGTGTTCATTCTGCTTCTAAGGGTCAGTCCCCCAGTCATGTCCCAGCCCTAGCTTGGTTTTTTACTCACCTCGGACTTGGCCTCATACCATCTGCGCCTGCCCAAACGACCCACACACCTGCAGCCTAGAAGGGAGGCTGGGATGTCTTGTAAGGGGCTAGAAATCCTGCTCAGGCCTCCCATTTTCAAATGTAGTGTAACTGTTTTCAAACATACAGAAAAGATCACTAAGACAGACACAGCTGCTTCATCTACTT